CACACACACACACACACACACACACATACATACGCGCGCGTACTCTCTCTCTCTCTCTCTCTCACACACACCATTCATATCTGCAAATTGCAGTTTTGTTTTTTTTGGTGTGATTTTTATTTACATTTAAGTAAAATTAAATTGTTTTGATTTTACTTTTTAGATTGAAAAAAATATGTGCCTGCAATCAAGTTTTAGTGACAACTTGTGTGGCATTTCTGCAAATTTATGTGGCATTATTGCAAAAGCAGGCACTTTAAAATACCTCAAACAACAAAAACTAATTCTAACCTTTGAGACAAATACTGTTTTTAATCTATTTTATAATGTTTCAATATATATTTACAAAATATATATCAGAAAAGTTGTGGGAGAAGCAGTTGGCCCCTTCCAGAAAAATGAATGGATCTCTATGGGCCTCTGCTGGATATATATGGTCATTACACTATTCTTTCAAATGCTGTAATTTCTACAAGTTTTTCTCTAACCAGCAGATGGCAGAATTCTACACCTAACACCTAGATCAATATCCAGAAACAACTTAAATCAAATTTCGATCATAATTTAAGTGACTTTTTCATGAAAATGTAATATTTCACATGCAAGCTAATGGTGTAGTTGAGGACTTCATATCTCCCAAAACACAGCTTTAATGTATAGATGAGAAGTAAACCAAAAAAAAAGACATATTATTTGTAATGGTAATATATTATTACAATTACTCAATCAATTTTGGGGTCATTGATAGAGTCACCATTTGAGTGTAGGATATAACAGATCTGTTTTAAAACAGCTTTTTATAAACATTGTCAGTGAGGAGTAGTTATGCGGTGATGCGCAATTAAATTATTGCGGAGCAAATTACTTGTAGATAATTTTATTTTAATAATAAAAGTAACCTAATAATATGTAATATGTAACAGGCTTACATTAATTGGAAATGCCAAATACTCTACTGACAATATTTAATGCTTTTGACAATCTCTGGCTATCACCGTCAAAAACGCGTAACGTGGCTTAATGCATTAAAACTGTGTTTTTAAAAGACCAAACTAAATAAACATTATTAATAAATCATACCATGTACAGACAAATTTGAGTTTGGTCTTTTAAAAACACTGTTTTAATGTGTTAAGCCACGTTAAGCGTTTTCCTTATGACTGATTTCTATGGGATTTGCCGATATTATCGGCCGATATGAGCCTGTCGCAGATATATCGGTATCGGCGAATATGCCGCCAATATGAAATTTTTTTTACAGAACATATAACGCAGATTAAATGCTTCTGAATGGTGTAATTACTTAGTTTGTCCAGCAGAGCGCGCTCCATTGTTTGCTACTGGCGACCCAGGTCAGTGTAGTGTAGAGATGCGCGGATGAGCTCAAACTTCACCCGAGTCCGCTGCTTCAAATTATCCGCCCGCCACCACCCGCACCTATATTTGATCGCCCCTCTACAATGATTCTTATTCTTAGTGTTGCATGATATGATGAATGGATGGTTAATTTTAACATCAGATTCAGTGACGTTAGAGCTGATTTGTGCATCACTACGGCTCCACGGCCACCAAAGCTGATCACGACCACTCAGTCAATGCTTGTGTTTATACCCAGAACTCATGCTTATTACATCGGCCACATCACATTTCCTAACTGAGTGTCTACACCGGACGAGAGCGGCGCGACAAAATACAGTAGAACCCATTATAATCAGTGATGCTGTCTACACTGAATGCGATGCGACACGACAAATCCCGACAGTAAACTGATGCCTCGTTCTATTTATGACGTGCTGACACAAAGTTCAAATTATTTCAACGGTCGCTTTGTCGCGTCTGTTGCGGCGCAGACACGGCGTCAGCATAGTTTGTTAGTACAGTCAGTAACGTAGCAGATTGAAAAGTTAGTATCTTTCTGCAGTCCAATAGACGGCAGTGCGGTGGTGGCTTGAGTCTGTTGAATGGTGATTTAACGCTACGTTGTCACCTAGTTGGAGAGACTCAATGCTAAGTAAATAAACAACAATGTCCTCGTCTTTTACTCTCACAATGAGCTTATCATATTCGTTTGCTACATTAGTAGGGCCCTATAATTTCCGCGATGCAGAAAACATGGACGGAATCGCGGAATCCAGTCATAAATACAGAATTTACTGTATAACGCATAATTTCATAGAATTTCTCTTATTTTTGATGAAGAAATAAAAAACAGGTCAGTACACTTAAATCAAATTGTGATATAGACTAGTGTCTGTGAATATTAAACTGCGAAGAATATCGGCCGATATATCGATATCGGTCTTTTTTTACTCCCTAATATCGGTATCGGCATCGGCCCCAAAAAAACAATATCAGTCGGGCTCTAGAAAACACAACGCGTAGGCTAATTAAACGTGTTGCGTTCGTATTATGGTGCATTTCTGCTGGCCTGTACATAGTATAATTCAGTTGTTACATTATGTTCAGTAGTTTTTTATTTAAAAATCTCAGACTTCTTAAGAGGGCAACCCTCTAGACCAGCCCTGCATACGAAATCGCCTACTTCCATACTATAGCCTATAGTAGGCCAAAATCAGTATGAGTCATAAATAGTAGGCCTATGTCCAAAACATCAGTAGCCTATGCAAAAAACAAATACCTGGATGGCGTACTGCTTCCGCTGAGATTTGTAAGTGTGCATTGGATGGACGCTATTCTATCCCATGATGCCACGGGAGCTGAGCATTGGTCAAATTCAAACGTTAATCAAATAAAAATAGTGGAAAACCCTAGGCGGATGACCATTTTTCAAGTAGGCTACCGATAAAAGAATTTCTTGTGATTAAATTATGTTAAAATTCATTCATTTCCATTACATTACACATTTTAGGTAATGTAATCAGACTACTTTTTGATTACTTTTAACCTAAGTCGCTTATTACATTGATTTAAATAGGATAATCTTGCACCATATTGATATAAAAATACAAAGAGTAAGAAAATATATTCCATTTATTGTAATTAAAAACATGAAGTGCAGTAAACATTACGTTATGTCAAGGTTTCCCAAACTGGGGTTCATAAAGGAACTGCAAGGGCTAATAATTAATTAAATAAAAAAATAATCAAAAATTGTCATTTTAGAATAACATCAATCAAAATAAAACACTTACTAAAAATTTTTTATATTTTGTTTACCTGCATGCCATGTGACCATTAACCAACCGTGAACATGGAAATGTGCTAATAAAATATATAATTTAATATCTCAGGGTACTTCAAGTAAATACAGAATATTAGGTGAAAGATGTTCAAAGTTTGGGAATGCCTGCATTACATGTAAATACAACAACGTGAATTTGTGCATTTTTATGTGTTTCAAAGACAAAAGCCTTCCGACGCTTTAGTAGAACATGGTCAAATAACCTAATTCACATAAAAATGAATGTTTTCATCAGCAATTGAAGCAATGTTGAAACCCTTCGTAAACCTGAAATGATTTTTGTAAATTCAGTGGTCAATATGAATGGTCAATATGACTAATGAATGGTCTTTCTGATATACAGTAAGCGCTATTTTAGAAAGTAACGTTTAAAAGAGGAAAAAAAGGAATTAGGGAGAATCAATAAATTATGAATAATTGTGTAAATAACATGTATTCGTATAATCAATAAAAAATGTACTGTCGTCTGACTACGAGTATTTTAAAATGTAATTTAATGTAATTACAAGTACATTATTTTTGGAATCTGATTAAGTAATCCAGATTACTTGTAATCAGTTACTACCCAGCTCATATATACTGTAACATCCATACTAGCCTTTCACCTGCATAGGAAAATGGAGTGGAGGTGGATACGAAGAATAAAAAGTATAATGAATACATTTATTATTATAACTTCATTACAAAATGCACATTCTTGTTTTGTTCTTCACAGGGCACAGTTAGAGGAGCGACTGACAGAGTATGTCAAGGACACACTCAGTTACATTGAGACCGTAAGGGTCTTCTGTGACCAAGAACCGACATGGACCTCTGAGAGAAAGGACGAGCGTGAGAAGTTGAGAGACATCAGTGAAAATCAGCAGGAGGAGGAGGAGGAGAAGAAGGAGAAGCTCAGCGCCGTCCTCAAAGACACATTAGAGGGTCTGAAGAAACTTGAGCCGTTCCTGGATGCAGTGGAGAAGCTAGCAGCGACCTCGAGCCATGTCTTTAATGAACAGATCTTCCTGCTGCAGGGAAAGAGCCCTGAAAGTGTGCAGTCAGTCATCGCAGATGCCAGAATAGATGCTCCTCTTCTCATCCACTTCAAACGAAATGCAGAAAGCTTCTTCCAGCCTCTACTCCAAAATGTGAATATCCTGGTCTTTCAGCTAAACAGCTACTACGTACTCAAAACAGAGCAACTTTGTAGCAGAATAAGACAAAAGTGAGTCCTGAAATTCCTGTTAAAAGAAAGAGTTTGCTCAAAAGTCACAATTCTGCCATCATTTAATCACCTTCATGTCAATTTAAGCTTATATGACTTTCTTTTATCCTGCTTGTTTTTTTGTAGTTTTTGTTTTTTGCAATGAAAAGACATGGGACCGGCATTTTTAAACATTGTGGGTTGAATTCACTATTGAGTTACGCCAATTTAACACATGCTATCTCAGCGCAAGAGCCCACGTCATTTTCACAAACCAGCTGCAATCCATCTTAACTCTTTCCCCGCCAAACACTGAATCTTCCGGGTTTCCGTGTTCTCGCTGTTATTCGCTCAGGGGGCGCTATTACGCATCTTCTGAATGAGTCTAGAATGTCCCGAATCCGATCAAAAACACAGGCGAGGAAGACGCAGAAACGAGCGATCTCGTATGTATGCCTATATGCATATGAAAAATAATGCGATCATCAACAATAAACAGCATATAAATGAAAACTGCCTAAATTTACAGAGTGAAATGTCGATCCAGTAAGTGGCAAAGGTCTGTAAGCTTTTGGAGTGCTAATGGAAGTGATCTACTGCATCTATGCTTTAATAATAGTACTGAATATGATCCAGATGTAGTATTAGATAAAAACGTGATTTTCTCAGCTTTTTACTCAAAATGTTGCTGAATTTTTCTATGAAACGTACCTACATTCAAGTGTCGATAAAAAAATATGCTTGAAGTTAGAATAAAACTACTGTTTTGTTTAAAAGTAGAAGCTCTCTTCTTTATTTTGATGTATTGCATGTTCAGATATTCATACAAGAAAATATTCTAGGGGGCCTTGAATTTTAGTGAAAATCATCATGCCTGGCAACTTTTTTCAAAAACACTGGCGGGGAAAGAGTTAAGCAAGTGCCAAATACATTGGAATAGCACTGTGTTATGAGTATTTCATTGACAACATGCGTATTTAATGGAGTCGTTCAGTACAGCAGTATGGTGCTCACAGGGTAGACTTTTCAAGCACTTCTTTTTTGATTTTCAAGGACTTCAATCAGAGCTCTCACTTATCAAACAATGTCTTCTCTTTCAAATTCTAAAGATAAATAAAAATATACTAATAAAAAATGGCAAAAATAAAGTGAAGCACGTGCTGAAGTCCCGATTTGAATAATGATTCGCGAACCAACATTTCAGAGATAGGACTCGGAGCGCGGATCGGAACTTCAAATCATGTATCGCAAATCATTTGATTTAGATCGCGACTTCAAATCATGTATCGCAAATCATTTGATTTAGATCGCGACTTCAAATCATGTATCGCAAATCATTTGATTCAGATCGCGACTTCAAATCATGTATCGCAAATCATTTGATTCAGATCGCGACTTCAAATCATGTATCGCAAATCATTTGATTTGAATCATTCAATTTGCAAAATGATTCACGATCGAAATCAAATGATTCGCGATACGTGATTTGAAGTCCCAATCTGAAACATAAGAACTGCGATACGCAATCCAATTGAAGCGCTTCGAAACAGTGAATCATTTTGCGACGCAATGGTTTATTGATTCAGAGTTTTGAAAAGCTCCGTTTCACCCATCACTATGTGCTTTTTAAATTGATTACAAGTGATGTTGAAATTTGAAAATGAATGCCATTTTAATTTTATCTGGTTCTTAAGCATGTCTTAAGGCACCATATTGAATGAACACAAATTTTTTGAGAGCTATGATGACGGGTAAGATTTTACAACTTAAAAGTTGGCCTGTTTCTTATAGCCAAAGCAGCTTCAGATTTTTACTGAATACCATAATTAGATCTACACTAAAATTTATAAACGTTTTTTTCTCTTCATGTTTTCTCAACAGTTCAGTTGAGTGTGCAGACATCTATAAGTAAGTACTGTATATATGTTTCTCATTCAAGTTTGAGATGAAAAACGACAATAATTACACTGAAATTCTTTACAGATATAAAATGGGTCAACCTTCAGTGGAGCTCATTTTGAACGCAAGCGAGAACGCCATGAATCAAATGCTTGATCATTTGAATCAGTTGTGTGAAATCAGGTGAGACTTCAAGCTTAGCCATTTTTAAATCAAATGGTTTGGTGAAAAGTAGCAGAGAGGTGGATTGTGAACTATATGTGACCCTGGAGCACAAAACCAGTCATAAGGGTCAGTTTTTAGAAATTTACATCATCTGAAAGCTGAATAAATAATCTTTCAATTGATGTATGGTTTGTTAGGATAGGACAATATTTGGCTGAGATACAACTATTTGAAAATCTGGAATCTGAGGGTGCAAAAAAATCTAAATATTGAGAAAATCATCTTTAAAGTTGTTCAAATGAAGTTCTTAGCAATGCATATTACTAATCAAAAATTAAGTTTTGATATATTTACAGTAGGAAACTTACAAAATATCTTCATGGAACATGATCTTTACTTAATATCCTAATGATTTTTGGCATAAAAGAAAAATTTTGATAATTTTGACCCATACAATGTATTGTTGGCTAAATATACCTGTGCTACTTATGACTGCGTTTGTTCTCCAGGGTCACATATGATCAACTCTGTCTTCTTTCTCCTCGTCCAGGATGAACCAGCACACCCGGCTGGCGTTCCTCTTTCAGGACGATGCTCAGAAATTCATTGACGTGTTCGGTGAACGTCGCTCTAAAATGTGGCAGTTCCTGTCACATCTGGAGCAGACAGCCGTTAAGCTGGACTTGATGAAGAAGGGGGCCAGTATATCCACTGTGGCTGGTAGTTCAGTGGGGATTGTAGGGGGTGTCTTGTCTCTTATTGGAATCTTTCTTGCCCCGTTCACTGTAGGAGCATCATTGTTTGTCACTCTGGCAGGGGCCGGTCTGGGGGGCATTAGTGCACTCGATTCTATTGTAACAGGGATCACTGAAACAAAGGTCAACCAACACCAGGAGCACAATGCACAAAGTTATTTAAATAGTTACAAGGATGATATGATAAAGATTGAAGACTGTTTGAAAGAAGCGGCCAACAGTGAAGGACCTTTAGTGAAGCCTACTGCAGTTGATGCTAAGACCATTTTAACCAATACTGGAGAAGGGTTAAAAGAGTTCCTGAATGTGGCGGATGCAGCTGCAGCTATTAGAGTATATAAAAGTGAAAAAGTAACTGCAGCAGCAACCGAGATCACAATGCAGGACTTAAATACGGCCAGTGACGTACCGCAGGTGGCTACATTCCTGTCTAGGACAAGGCTGCTGGCAAACGTTAAAACATTGAGGATCGTAAAGGTTGTTAGAGGTATATCTGGCTTAGTAAATTTATTCTTTATTGGCCTGGATGGCTATTTTATTGCCGAAGAAATTAAAAGTCTTGCAAAAGGGAGTGAGAGTGAGGTCTCTAAGCTCATGCGCTCCAGGGCAGCTCTGTGGAAATCTGAGCTGGAGGCCTGGGAGAAAATGCACGATTCCTTAAGCATAGGAATAAAGACGATTAGCGAGAGTAAGCATACTTTGGAGAAACCATTTCTTCCTTAGTTCTATCATGACAACTCTCTGGAGATTTTAGCATGGTAATGGATATGACAATGTTAATATCGATACGGAGCTGTGAGCATTTAAGACATACTGCTGCTGCACAAATAGCATATAAAATAACTGCTTGCTGCTGCTGTTATATGAACATGACATGCAAAGTAATTACTCTCTCGAATAACCTGCGAGAAATCCAAAGGGCGTCACCCATTCTTGAGCTTGGCCCACCCTAAGTAAAAGTCAACCAATCACATAATTGAACGGTCGTTAAATTTCTGCATCTTTTGACAAATCACAAAAGTTGCATTCTCTTCTTATTCTTCATTAAAGTATATGTTAAATCATCAGCCACAAAAAGCTCTACACTTCATTACGAATGTTGCTTCTCATGATGTCCCACCTATTTTTGCTTTTTTTGTATATTCATTTATTTTATTCAGATGATTTGTTGTTTCTGTGTAATCGTATTTTTGGATATACACACATATCATAACAATGTTCAACTCTCATCACTTGTTGGTTTTTTTACACTTGTTTCCACAGAATTGGTGTCTTAAATGATTGGGTCCATTATATCAATATAAATAGGCTACTCAATAATTTTTTGACTGTGGAAATAAGAAAAAATAAAAGATTTGTCTGAATATGTCTCTCCCTGTATTCTATTCAAAAGTTAATTCAGTTTGCTATTTGTACCACTGGAGTTCACACTCTTACCAAGTTGTACAAACAAAATAAAAAAGTGTGGAGCGTACAATTGCATGATTTGTTCATTTTTTAATTATAATATGCTTATTCCACTTTACAAATTTGTATATTGCTGGTGCAAGAATTCCATTCTTTGATCACAGAATACATTTAATTTGTAGAAAGAAACAATCACAAAATTTGCACCAAGTTTCAAATGAAGTTGAAAATGTCAGGACATCCCATCCTCCAGTTTTTGACACAAAACAAATGTTCATTGTACAATTAAAAATAATGTCCTTGGATCAAAAACAAGAGCTCAGCAGCGCCATCTGATGATCAGCCACAAAAAGCTCTACACTTCATTACGAATGTTGCTTCTCATGATGTCCCACCTATTTTTGCTTTTTTTGTATATTCATTTATTTTATTCAGATGATTTGTTGTTTCTGTGTAATCGTATTTTTGGATATACACACATATCATAACAATGTTCAACTCTCATCACTTGTTGTTTTTTTTGCACTTGTTCCCACAGAATTGGTGTCTTAAATGATTGGGTCCATTATATCAATATAAATAGGCTACTCAATAATTTTTTGACTGTGGAAATAAGAAAAAAAAAGATTTGTCTGAATATGTCTCTCCCTGTATTCTATTCAAAAGTTAATTCTGTTTGAAGTAGAAAAATTAGGTACAAAAATTAGTTCAAAGCGGATTCTGACCTCTTCTCACCTCTGATTGGCCAGTTCTTTCAACAGAGATGCCTGTGATTGGCTACTCTCTACGCTGCAAAAACACACGGGAGCGTTTAAAAACACACACACAACACAGTGACTACGTTTACATGGACATCAGTAATCTAATTATGTACCTTATTCCGAATAAGACAATATTACGATTAAGGTTTTTACATGAGTTTCTTTTAGAATATTCCCGTTTTACATGTTCTAGACCATAGATCGATTAACGGCACGTCATTACGTCACCACGTTACGCCATCCGACGTCCCCTCCGGAATTTCACGCATAAACATATAGTTCGTGTTCGCTATCATACAGTTTTGGGGGTTTCATTTTTAATTTAACGTTACTGAAAGTTACCATACGTATATACAGGCCTATATATATATATATATATGACTATTTTTAAGGTTTCAAATAAGGTTTGGGAGAATAAATTGTCAAAAAGTGGGTGAAATAATGTTCCATTGTTATTCAGTGAAGCACTTACAGTAATGTAAAAATCACAAGTAAGTAGTATTTGGGGTAAAACTAATCATAAACTGATGCTTGTGGTAAATATGCCTGACAAGATTGTTACACTGAATCACATTTTAGTGGCTGCTTTCTGTAAATCATGGTAAAAGAAAAAGTATATTTACTTTTTTCACAGAAAAAATATTAAGTATAATTAGCAATAATACAATTAATCTTATCATAATTAAAAGGTATAATAAATTAAATAAACTACACTAATACACACACTTACATATATATTACTGTATTTCAATTACTATTAACGTACTATTTACGTGTGCGTGTTTAAAAATATAAACATATTAGGATAAACTGATATTTTTATAATTAAAAAGTGAGAGAGAAAGCTGAGACTGAAGTAAACGTACCGCTCTGCTGTGGTTTTTAAAGCGCTTTAGAAACTCCTCCATCCGTCTGGACACGAACACTCTTCCGCGGTCACCGTCACGTTTATATTTATCACAATATGAGCGCAAATATTAAATATTATTATCGCCGATCTGTGAGATGCGCGCGCTGAACTCTGCCGCTCTTCTTCTGCGAGTGTTTGGGTGTGACGTCACGAGCGTCAGGCGCGAGTCTTCTTGCGCCTCCAAGTGGAGCGGAGGAAAATAACACAAGCGCCGGACACACTTATATATAATAATCTTGTTAAATCACGATCAAGAAAACAAATCAAATCATTTTCGACCTTTATGTGCAGAGCTAGCTGATTTCGGCACGGACGGTTCGTGTAGTATATATTATTTTTAAGTAGATTAAAATTAATTGTATTATAATGAATAATCATAATAATTCATATTATAGTTTAAAAACTATTTTAATTCCCCTGTATGACTTGCATGGAAGCTTATTTTCGCCACGGAATAAAAAATATAAAAAGGCAACTGCGACTTTTTTTCACCTAACAATTCGTATTTTTCGCAATTGCAAGTTCATATTTTAGTTTATAAATTAATAATTGCGAGACAAAAATGTGAGAGATCGCAATGACCTTTTTATATTTTTATTCCGGTGGTGTAAACCATAGACATAATAAATAATAAATATTTATTATGTCTATGGTGTAAACAAGCGTCCATAGTGTTCAAAAGTGTCCAAAAGTGAATCGATTAATAAAACATTTTATGATTCGTGTGGTATATATTATGTTAATGTTATTTACATTATAATTATTAAATATAATAATAAATTGTATTACACTTTATATAGTTATAATAATCGTTGTGATTTCCGTTTACAAACATTCGAACCACACCAAGGGTTCCAGTCCGCCAATCAGCTCAGCGGATTCCTCTGTGCGCGGTCGCTGATTGGACGTCCCCGACCGCGAGCTGAGCCAATCAGCAGCCGAGTCCAGGCTGCCGTCCGCCGAGCGCGTCACGCACGCACAGCACGAGCAATCACGTGGGAGCCACAGTACTGAGGAGAAGCGCTCGCTGATCTGCAGAGAATAAAGAACAGGTTTGTCAGATTAATTAGACTAAACAGACTATATTTTAAATCATTTTAAACACGCGTTTGCGGATTTAAACGTGCGCGGTGTTTTAGTTGCGGACGCACGATGTTAGCGCGAGAGCGTGAGCGCGGTTTATTACGGTTTTTGGTGGTTTCCGTGAGGCCGCACCGGAGCGCAGCTAACGCGTTTTAACGGGGAATCGGTGCGGTAACGGCGCCCTGCGATCCGTTTCACGCGAGTATCGCGTTAATGTGTAGTTTGTGGCTGATATACCGTGTGTGGACGGAGAGATGGGGGAGGGGCGCTGAGGGAATTAGGCGGGAAGAAAAATGGAGGAATCTTTGTTTAACAAAAGCCTCCGAGCAACTACAACAAAAGTGCTTTAAACCCCGAGAACAAACGTTTAAACTCGTGTTTTTTCAGTCACAGCTGGTTTATGTGTTCCTGCAAATCAATGCGATATTTTTAATGCATTTTTGGTCTATATTCAGTAACGTTATATTTGCGTGTTTTCAGCGCTTCAGCGCTGTTTTGCATCATATTTGAGCTTTTAGTTGCTGATATCTGATATAATGCAGTTATGAAGGAAGATTAAATACTTTATTTACATAGTGTTTGAAAACAAAACACGCTGTGTGAGGAGATCAGCTGATTATCAAAATGATAGACAATAATAATCACTCAAACACAAATATATATTTAAATACAATTTTCAGACATTTTTCTGGATACATTTTGAATAATGTATATAAATATTCATATTTGTTTATATATATATATATATATAGCCTGCGTATACAAAACATGAAAATATACAAATATGATAAATAAAATATAAATAAACTAAATATTTTAACTAAAATTGAGTAACATTGTGTGTGCATATGTGTTTTAAGTGTGTGTATATACATATACATACACACAAATATATATATATTTAAATATACACATATTATATTATTGTCTGTATGCATATGTTTAAAAAATAAATGTAATAGAAATTTTTTGATGCATTTATTCATGTATTTGTTTACATATACTATTATACATACACATTTATATGTATTTACATACACAAATATATATTTAAATGTAAGTTTATACATTTGTTTGTATGGGTGAGGGTGTTTAAGTATTCATACATGCATACACATATTTAAATGTAATTTTTATAAGTTTCTCCTATCTATCTATATATATATATATATATATATATATGTGTGTGTGTGTGTGTGTGAATAGTTTTTTAATGCATGTATATCTGGTTATATGTGTGTGCGTGTGTGTGTGTGTGTGTGTGTGCTGTCAGGTTCGAGTGTGTTGTTTTCCGTCAGCTGATCAGCATGGTGAAAGGAGACTTGAACAAACCCAAGGGAAAGACGTCTGCGTACGCCTTCTTCGTGCAGACGAGTCGCAATGAGCACAAACGCAAGACTCCCGACGTTCCCGTCAACTTCTCCGAGTTCTCCAAGAAGTGCTCCGAGCGATGGAAGGTGAGCGTCCTCCACACTGATGAAGATGATGATGATGATGAAGGTGCTGTCACTGACCGCTGCTCTTCTGTTCCTCCAGGCCCTGAGCGCTTCAGAGAAGACCAAGTTTGAGGACATGGCTAAAGTGGATAAAGTTCGCTACGACAAGGAGATGACGAGTTACGTGCCGCCCAAAGGCGTCGGGAAGATGAGCAGGAAGAAGAAGGACCCGAACGCCCCGAAACGCCCGCCGTACGTCACACACACATCAGTCTACAGCTCACATAAATGTACTTATACATTATAATTATAATTTATATAATAATATATACAAATTTTAACTTTATACATAATATATACTTTATCCAATATATTTACTCAAACTTTATAAATATGTATCTTACAAATTGCAGTATTTGTGTTGTGTAAAATGCTTTGAATTATTGAATTTATTAATAAATGTTAGGAATTCTGAGAATAATTCATAAACCGATATAAGGTATATATGCATTATTTTTGAATACATTTTATTTTATTGATCATTATGGAGGAATTTAAGACTTTCACTCTTAAAAATAAACACTTTAAGTACATTATAGGATTCATGTATTTACTCAAACTTTATAAATATGTATCTTACAAATTGCAGTATTTGTGTTGTGTAAAATGCTTTGAATTATTGAATTTATTAATAAATGTTAGGAATTCTGAGAATAATTCATAAACCGATATAAGGTATATATGCATTATTTCTGAATACATTTTATTTTATTTATCATTATGGAGGAATTTAAGACTTTCACTCTTAAAAATAAACACTTTGGGTAAGTACATTATAGGATTCATGTGGTGTATATTACAGTTTATATAACTTATAATGTTTTATATGCATATGTATATGACATGTCAAAGTCTAGACCCTGAATATAAGACGACCGCGTTTTTTCAGATGTATTTCCAAGAAAAAAACATCGTCTTATATTCGGGACAATACGGTGTATATATATAATAAAAATTAAATCTAATAATTGCTACTACACAGCTCCAGATGTGAGTGATTTTAAGAGTTTTCCTCTGCACAGATCTGCGTTCTTCGTCTTCTGCTCGGAGTACCGGCCGACGGTGAAGAGCGAGACCCCGGGTCTGTCCATCGGCGAGACCGCCAAGAAGCTGGGAGAGATGTGGTCGAAGCAGAGCATCGCAGACCGCGCGCCGTTCGAGCAGAAAGCCCTCAAACTGCGCGAGAAATACGAGAAGGTGAGCCGCGGATTCACAATCATGTTTATTTAATGTTGTGGGCGTGGCCTGAGTCTGAGCGCTCTGTGATTGGCAGGAGGTGACGGCGTACCGCGCAGGGGGCGGAGCCTCTAAGAAGGGGCCGGGCCGACCGACGGGCTCGGCTAAAAAAGCCCAGGCTGACGACGATGATGACGACGACGATGATGAAGAAGAGGATGAGGAAGATGACGAGGAGGATGACGACGACGAGTAGTGTTTGTGATGTGAGACGGGTGAAGGGTTATCTTGAGTTTTTCTTTATGGACACGTTTAACGACTCCCGCAATAACGCAAGTGTTCTGTTGTTTGTTTGGGTTTTTTTTTTAGATTTCTTCTTATTTTTGTACACGTTTAGCTGTTGCTTCAATAAAGTGTAGAGGTGCTTTTTTTATAATAAATTTTTAAAAGTTCAGATATTGTGCGTTTGCTGTGGTCTTTCTGATTTAACTGAGTGTTTGATGGTTTTACTGTATATTACAAGAGGAAATAAATTGCATTTCAAAAATAATCTGGCCTCCATCCAAGAATTTTCAACAGAAATTCATTATTCTTCAGGCTGTCTGACAAGTTCTACCTAATTTGATCGGTGACATTTTATATAGTAATACAAGTGTGTGGGTATATATATATATATATATATATATATATACATTAGGGCTGCCAGTAATATAACAAAGAGTGAAAAATTTAAGGGGGTCTGAATACTTTCCGTACCCACTGTATGTATATATATATATATATATACATTAGGGCTGCCAGTCGATTAAAATTTTTAATCTAATTAATCGCAAACTAAATATGGCTGTCAAAATACCCCCAAAAGATCATTTAAAGCTATTATTGTGTTAAATGTTTAGGCTACAGCGGCTTAACATAAACTATGGAACATAAAAGAAGATAATTTGAGAAACATCTCAGTATTTTTTGTTCATGCAGTGAAAGTCACTAGTGACCCAAACAGCTTAGTGACCAACAGTAGGCTATTCACCTTCTTTATGTTGTTCAAAAGAAAGCAAGTCATTCAGGTCTGAAACAACAAGAGGATGAGTAAATGATGACAGAATTTATTTATTTTTGGTGAACTGACCCTTTAATCCCTTTATAGCTTTTTTTAATAAATTAAATGATACGCTTAAGAAGAAACATATATATATATATATAAAAAAGTATTTTTGTTCTATTCATATAATATGAATATGAAAATGTTATGATTTGAAGAAAAACTGGGTTGAACACCCATCGTCTTACGGAAAATTACTAGAAAAAAAATT